GCATTAAATTGGAAAAATTAATGATGTAGCAAATAATGATAGTGTTTTTGACTTAGGGCGGTTCCATAATGTAAACACGCCAAATAGAAAATGGTTAAAGAAGAAGAAGCAGGTGATTAGGGATGTAATAATTTGGTTTAGCTTTTTTTAATGAGCAATGAAATTTTGATCACATCATTAGCCGGTGATACTACTTTTTGGACTGTCTGTCACTGACATGTGTTTGTTTAGGTAGTTCAATATTCCAAAAAGAAAACAAAATCAAGCATGGTCTAAGTATTAAGATGTGAAAAAACAAACTATTGTACATGGCTAACTATTAACTATTAAGATATGAAAATTGGAGAGTATGTAATTATGTAGACGTTGAAAAAGAAAAAGAGTCGTGTACGCACTAGCCGTTATTGCGATGAGGGGAGGGGTGGTTGGTGTCACACCGAGTCGCTGACTCGCTTTTTTGGACAGGTGGTGAGAGCCTGGAGTGGACCATTGCCTCACACTAGTGGGTCCCACCGAGTCACGGTTCTTTCGCATAATGCGCTTGTGAAAGACGCAAACGCGAATTTACTGACGTGGAAAGGCCGACCCCACATAGGCAAGTTGATAGAGGCAACAATAAATTACATATACATAACTCTCATATGATTACTTACATTACATATTACAAAAAAAAAAAGAAAAAAAAGGAGCAAAAAGTCAAAAAGAAACAGAGGCATCCCTTGTGACTCTGTTACGTCCGTTAATTTCGGCATCACAACAAAATAAATTTTGAAAAACCGAAACTCTGTTACGCGTACCATCACCATGTGATGTGCGGCCTATACATAGATGTATGGGTGGGGTGCACGCGCCGTCAACACAAAGACCAACCAAATGTTACAGCTATTACATCCGTTTCACACGTGGCCCACTTTCCAACATGGGCCTGTCGTCTGGCTCCGTCTCTATTCACGGCTGTACAAATTCCAACCCGACCCGTTAGAACCCTCTTTCAGGTTCCGAATGTTTACAGCTTTAAGGAACAACATCTTCCAGCTGTAGCTTCCAGTACTTGGGATCTAGCTCCGCCTGTTCCCCACATCACATAAAAATCCCTAATGTCAGAGAGTCGGTCCAAGTTTTTGTATTTTAATCATTACAAAACAAAAGTTTCATCCAACTTTTCCGGCTATTTAGAATACCTGAAGGGTATTGTCTTTCCAGAGGAAGGCGCAACCGCGAGCTTCTAAGTGTTGGATAAGAGACGGAGGAAGTAATGACCTGAGGGAAGCATGGAGTTTCGCTTTCCTTAATCCTCCACACCCCAGCAACGCTGCTGCTACTCCGCTCGGGCTTAAACCGCTTGAGTTCACCACCGCTATGTTCTGTAAACATCCAATGTTGGCCAGGGAGACAAGTCCCACATCAGTCACCGCCGTGTCCGACAAGTTTATCTGCAACGCAAGAAGATCGAAGATTAAACGGTTTATTTCATTATCTAATATTAATAGCTGTGAGTGGAAGATTTCTGAGCCTCTCTCTACCTGTTTGAGACTCTGTGAGAAGTGAGCGAGAGTGAGCAACCCGGAGTCATTGATGTACGGGCACTTTTTCAAGTCGAGCTTGGCGAGTCGCTTGCACCGAACAGCAATGGCAGCAAGTCCTTGGGACGTGATGTTAGGACATCCCCGGCTCTCAAATGTTTGTAACAGTGAGCATTTGGACAATGAAACTAGGGACTTGTCTGTGATGTCTTTGCAGTATGATATGTTGATTGTTTCAAGATGTAAGCAGCCTTGGGCGATCGAGGAGATTCCTATGTCTGTTATTCCCACTGACCTGGAGTTGATAAGAAGAGATTTGAGATCTATTGGCCAAGTAAGAAACTCAATGCAGAATCCTATATATAAGGTTTCTAGGCGGCTAACCTATAGAGATCAAGTTCACGGAGATTTGAGCAGCTCATACCAATGTACGAGATCCCCTTGTCTGTTATATTAAGACAGATTCCCAGCTTCAACGAGGAGAGACTAAGACAACTAGATATGGATTTTAGTCCTGCATCAAACGAGGAAAGACAAACACGATAAGGTATTATCCCAAAATCATGGTTCAAAAGATTACTCTGAAAAGAAGAAAGAACCTTCGTCATCAATCTCGTTGTCAGTTAAGTCAAGCTCTTCAAGTAGCCGACATTTCTGTCCGATCAACCAAAAGGCTTCTCTGGAAACAAGAGAACAAGACTCCATCTTCAAAGAGACTAGTAAGGGACATGAATTGGCGATTTGGATGATTGAAACTCCACTTAGTTTCCGGCAACATGTGATGTCAAGTTTTCTGAGGTCTTTCAGTTTCATTACTAGGGAAGAGAGACCTTCATCAGTTACGCTCACGCATTTGCTTAAGCTAACCTCTTTCAGGGAATTGCACAAAGTGCCTATCGCCTTCAAACCATCAGAAGTAACAGAACAGCCATCCAACTTGATTGACTGTAATGCTAAAACCTTCTTTAAGCTACTTGCAAAATCCAATGATATCACCTAAATCAGCAAATAAACCACATATAAGGCATCATAGAGATATAGACTCACAGTGGGTTTGTGCACTGCTATCGATCTCAAATGGTCTTTCCAAGTAGGTGCAATTACAGCTGTAGCTACTACTAATCAGTTTTAGTGCCAAACTAAGCTCACTCAGCAATTCAGCCAATGCTTTGATACAAGCCATAGCCAGAGAAAAAAGCAAGCATAGCATGTTCTGGTGATAATGAGGAAACGAAGAACTTACAGAAGAACAATGTGCTAGATCAAGTCGCTGAAGATATCCCGCCCCACTCAAAAGTGAGGTTAAACCTCTGTGAGTTAGATTCTGGCAGCTCGATGCATCAAGTTTCTGCACAACACAAGTTTTTGGTAAGTAAAATATGGATAAGACCGAGATTAAAACGAAACTATGATATCTACGTCTCTAGGTTTAAGGAAAAAAATATGAAACCGGATAGATTTTGTTAAAGCCTTAAATTTTTCCATCTAATACTACATACAAACTGACGTTGAAAGTATCTACCAGACCTGTTTATACATCTTCTCTCGAAAAGTTAAATGATTCCAGAATAAATGCAGCGAGCAGGAAGACCTGAAAACATCTTTTCCAAGCCATATTCTGAGAATACGAAGTTTTCTCTCCTAAAATAACAGCTTAAAATCCTTCGGCTTTCATATCGATTCCAGTTTCAATTATGCCATGATGTTAGAAGAATCAAGCATGTTTCTTGGAGAAGAGGTTACCTTCAATGACTTGCAATCATGTCTGAGTGATTTAAGACTGTCATCATCTACTCCAAAGCACCCTTCTAGAAGAAGTTCTTCAAGGTGTTGAAGTTTCAGAACATCATGTAAACACTTGCCTGTGATCTGTAGAATACAGAACAAAGGAATTAGCTAAGTATACAAGAAACATAGGCTTAAATTTCCAATTTAGGAATAGTTCATTTCCAACTGAGTTACCATATAAATCGAAATTTCGCTCTATAGATTCCGGCAAACTAAATTGATACCGGAAAAGTGAAATCGGAGAAATTACCGGCAAGTAGGAGAGGTCTAAGGTCCGAATGTCTTTGCATTTGACGGCAAGCAAACCAACACCTAAATCTCCGACGCCTACACACCATTTCAAGCTAACCATATTCAGCTTTCTACATCCAACAGCGATACATCCGATTCCCATGTCCGTGAGCATCTTACATCTCCCTAGCTTCAGCCGCTCCAAACTCCTTGCCTCCGCTACCACCGCCGCAGCCGCGTCTCTCATCTCCGTCGCGTTCGAAAGGTCAATCTCCACTAGATTCACACATTTCACGGCCAATCTCATTAGCCCAGCGGCGGAGAAGGAGCCTGAACGCGATAGGTCGACGGAATTGAGCGTAGGTCCGGAGATGCAGCCAACGACGCTAAGCGCGTAGTCCGTGACGCGTGAGCAGAAGGTAAGATCGAGATCGGAGGTATTCCGGTACCGTGTTAAGATTCGAGGGATATACTCTGCACGGAGAGGTTTTAGGGATTTCCGGTGCTTGGCTTCGACTTGGTAAAACCATTTACAGGTGAGAGAGAAGGATTTGAGATCAGAAGGGTTTTGAGCGATGAGGTCAAGGATTATGAAGACGAGCTCATCGGAGAGAAGATCGAAAGGCTTAGAGATATGAATCTGCTTCGTCTTCTTCATGGGGAAAATCATTAGGAATATAGTGATGAAGAAGGAGAAAGAGAGTTTTTGAAGAAGCTCTGAGAGTTAAGCGGATAAACAGTTTCTGTGGGAGGAAGGAAAGAAAAAGACAAACCAAGATTGGGAGCCTTGAAGAAGAAGGATTATTATGATTTTACATAATTGTCCATGCTATTTCACCTCTTATCTATATACACATATTTAAGGATTAAGACAAATAATATTCTGTTGACAAAATAATAATAATAATATTCTGAAAAATAGAAAAGTATTTTCTTTTTTGGGCATCAAAAGTTTGATTATTTAATCTAATATAAATTATTTACTTTTACCATCGAATTCAAGGAGTCTCAC